GTGTTCCGCAACACCCTCCTCATGTGCGTCCTCTCGTTCCCGCAGTTCGGCCAGTTCGACATCACCCGGGAGGACTTGGAGAGCTGGTACGAGTGGTTCTATGGTGAGGACATCGGGGGCCGTTTTCCCCCGCCAGAGGACCACGTCCTGGCAAAAGATTCACGAGAAGATGCATGAGGGCAACACCCTCAAGGCGGCCATGCTGTCGGTCAGGCAGGACACATTGTTCTGGACACGTGAGGTCTATGAGAAGATCAAGACCTTTTCCAGGGGCCGCCCATCAACCAGGACATCCATGGACTACGCACCACCTCAGAAGGGCAAGAACAAGTCCAAGGGCAAGGGGAAGTCCAAGGGCAAGCCTGGGAACAAAGGGAAGGGTAAGACCCCCCACCTGAACAATCAGGCGTCCCGGGGCGGTAACAAGCAGGCAGCCACCGACCCGAAAGGGAACCAGTTCTGTAACAACTGGATGCGCGGGCGCTGCCCGGGCAACTGCGGCCGCACCCACAAGTGCAACCTCATCCTGGCAATGGGCCGCATCTGCCTGGGGGACCACCTCCCGCAGGACTGCCCGGGTTGACTAGGGGCGCTGACCCCTACCCCCCGGGAGGCCTCAGGTGCCGAGGGCCCTGATAAGGCCCGGGGGGGCGAGAAGGGGCGCAAACGCCCCAAGCAGGCACAGAAGCCCCCTCCTGCAGGTGCCGAGGGCCCTGACACAGGGGGGGGACAGGCCAGGTGGCGGCCATCCTCGGCGGAACAAGGATGGGGACGGCAGAACCAGCGTGCACAACGCCCTCGCCGTGATCAGAACAGCCACACAACCGGCACAACGGCGGCGCCTCAGTCCCGAGCCACAGGTGCCGAGGGCCCTGATATGGCGGGGACGGGACGGTTCCCCGCAGGTGCCGAGGGCCCTGACACGGGGGGCCGCACCCAGAAGGCCCGAGTGCCGGATGACTGGCAGCACACCGCAACGCCAAGGGACACTCCCAGGAAGCAGCCGATCCCACTTCCGGCGCCCAACATCATCAAGCAGGACCCGGTGGTTTTCCACAAGAGCTCGGTGGGGCTGAATGAAGGGGGCCAACGCCTTTCAGCTACCCCCCTGACAAGTCCAACGGAGCCGTCACCGGGATTGGACATCTTCCCGTGGATGGAGAACATCCCTGAGCGTCTGGTACAGCGGCTGAGATGGACACAGGGCACATCGCCCAAAGTTCCATCCAGTGGGCCCATCATTGTCCTGCTCTATGCAGGCAAGGAAGACCCAACTTCCTTGGACAGCTGTCTTCATGCCAACTACCCACACCTTTCCAGCATGGTGGTGGCGGTAGACATCCTACGGTCTGGACCAAAAGGGGACCACGATATGCTCCAACCCGAGCTGTATGGAGCTCTTTGCACGGCAGCAAAGCAGGGCCGAGTGGTCTTCATTGGAGGAGGACCCAACTGCAGGACATGGTCCATCCTGCGCCACATACCAAAACCGGGGGCTCCCACCCCGGTGCGAGGGCGCACTCCAGAGACACTTTGGGGCCTTCCACACCTGGACCAGGCCGCCCAGACTCAACTTGATGATGACAGCATCCTCATTCTGAGACAGATGTACATCACCAGCCTGGCAAGGGCCTCACGAGCGGCGGTTTCTCTGCCAGGGCCCAGGTCCTTCCTGGAACACCCGGAGGACCCAGTGGTGAGCAGCTCGCTGCCCAAAGCCAAGGAATGCTCATCCTTCTGGATCACAGAGGAGGGGCAGCTTTGGATGGAGGAGAACTCCTTGACAGCAATCTCCTTCGACCAGTGCCGCCTGGGCCAGCTGGTCAAGAAGGCCACTACGCTGGCCACGGATCTCCCGATCCAGGACTGGGATCAAATGCGGTGCACGCATCAGTCACATGTGGGCACCAACGAGTCCTCGACTCTTAGCAGATACCCTTGGGATATGATGGCAGGCCTGGCCAAAGCCATCGCTGTGTCACTCGCAGCGCCGGGGCACATCCGGATCCCCTCACAATTTCCGGGAAACCCCAAGGAACCACCTAAGGGGCGGGGGTCGGACCCCCCGGAAGGCCATTCCCCCCGGGGAAAACGGGGGCCCAGTCAAGGAGGCGGTCCCTCCTCATCACACCAGGGCTCAAAGCCCGGAGGCAAGAACGCCCCGAAGCCCCGCCTGCACGGGCAGTTCCACCCTGAGGCAGACACCGTAAGCCCTCGTGGAACAATGAACCCAGACTTCCCATCTCCCATGCCCCCGATGGCCGGAGATGCGGAACAACTGGGGAAGGAGGGACAGGGGGACCAGGTCCTGGACCGCCCCGAATGCCTGCCCGCTTTCAGGGTCCCACACCTCACTGACCGGGTGGCGATTGTCCAATTGGGTTTCCGCTCACGCCCCCTGAGGGATGGGGGGGGAAAACCTTCCCCAGGGAGGCTCAACCCCCCTTTTCGGAGAATTTCCCCATTGGCTACTTTGGGCGCCCTGATCATGACCCTTACCCGGCCCTGGATTGACAAGGTCCGAATGTCCCTGGCATCAGGTGCCACCACACACCCCTTCCAGGAAGCCGACCTCGAGGAGCTGCGGGCTATCCTAGGACCGAGGCACCTCCATGAACGATGCCCAGGACAACCCTTCCTCCTGGACTTAGTGTCGCACTTGGCATCCCTTTCAGGTGACCCTGATTGGGAGTTCCCCCTAACACTGAAAGAGGGGGTCCCCTTGGGAGTCTCGGACCCTACCTTGACCTCCCCGGGAGTTTGGCCCACTAAGGAGGAGCTTAAGGGAGAAGCCTGGCTGGGGGAAGATCCCCCCCCGCCAGTGGCTCATGATAACTACCCAACGGCTGAACTCTTTGCCAAGGAAATCGAATCAACCTTTTACGAGGAACGAGCCTTGGACATGGTGGACGGGCCCTCCACTCGCTCCGAGGCGGCAGAGAGGCGCCGCTGCAAACCGGAGGAACTTTGCCCGGGCCCCCTTGCAGGGATTGATGAGTCGGACAAGATCAGGACGATCTATGATGGCTCAAAAGGGGGAGCAAACGCACACATCCAGGCTCACACGGAGGAGAAGACCACCGCACCGATGGTTGGAGACTGCCTCCATGCCATCCACTGGCTCAGGACAGCGGCGGACCATCCTCATCTACTCCGAGCCCCATCCTCGGGCACTGATGAGGAACCTCGGGATGTTCACCAGCCGGTGCAGGGGCAGTCCCCAGGTGCCGAGGGCCCTGAGAGGGACCCCCACAGCACCAGCCTGCCCCCAGGTGCCGAGGGCCCTGATAGGGGCAGGCGGATGATGGAGACCTCCGGCGGCCTGGACGTCTCTCCGCGGTCAACACCCTCAGGGAAGGGGCCACTCCCAGGTGCCGAGGGCCCTGATAGGAGGGCCCCATTCCCCCCAACCCCCCCAGGCACGGAACGCCCTGGGGGGAGCAGGGGGGAACCCCTGACGTGGCAGCCGCCGACACAGGGGGAAACCTTCATCATCCTCAAGGCGGATGTCACCAAGGCCCACAGGCGCATAAAAGTGCTCCAGAAAGACTGGAAATACCAGGTGGCCTGCATCCAGAACCGGTGGTGGGTCAATAGAGTGGGCACGTACGGCATGGCCTCGGCACAACTGTACTGGGGAAGAAAGGCATCCTTGGTGCTCAGACTCTTGTACTACATCTTCCCTCAGGTGGACTGGCACTTAGTTTTTGTGGACGACTACTGCTGGGTCCTCAGATGCAGCAGGGCGGACTGGGACGCCACAGCCATCCTGGCCACTCTTCTGGCGCTGGGAGTCCCGCTTTCTTGGAAGAAGACGGCGCTCTCCCCGGTCAATACCTGGTTGGGATTCGTGGTGGACCCAATCACGCCCTGTGTGCTGCTGGCTCCAGTCAAGCACGTCATAATCCTGGCCACTCTCAAACGGCTGGCCCAGGGGGACATCTTTACCAGCAAGGAGGTGGAACAAGCCCTGGGCCGGATTCAATGGGCTACTTCGGCGTGTCCATTGACGAAACCTTTCCTCCAGCCCTTTTGGAGCTGGAAGAAGGCCTGCACCACTTCGGGCAGGCCACCGAAGCTGGTTCGTGCTCTGGCCATCCTTCTGGGGAAGCTCTTCAACCAGAGGTTCCCACTGGCATCTCCATTTGCTCCCACACTTCCATGGACGGGGGCATCTGATGCGGGAGCTGGCAAACAGGCGGACCATGCATGGGTTGGTGGTTGGTGCTCGGACGTGCCCAACCCCGACAAGTCCCGAGTGAAGTGGTTCCAACACAGAATCACACCGGAGGGCGAGCCGTGGGCCTTCACTACTGGGGACCCGCAGCGGGCGATAGCGGCCTTGGAGCTCTTCGGCCTCCTCCTTTTGGTGAGGGCTGTTCTGCTTTGTGCAGCCGGCTCGGCTTCTCACACTAGGATTCTGGTTGCTAGTGATAACCAGGGAAACGTTTTCTCCCTGCTTAACGATTCCACTCGCAGGATGCCCAATGCGGCCATCCTCATGGAAATTGTGTTAACACTGCATGACCACCAGGTCATGTTAGGACCGTCGCATGTGAAGCGCGACTTTAACACATGGGCGGATGAACTTACTCATCCGGACCCGCAATTTCCGACTGAGAACCGGGTCTTCCCCTCAGTCGAAAGCGAATTGATCAAGCTGATCTTCGCTACTTTCCTTCCTCACCCATGATGCCGGGAGGGCATCCGGTGAGGTGGGAGGATTCCTCCCTCGCTGTGGGAGTGGCATCAATTCTACTCCCATCAGCTGCTGAGGGGAGCTGCCCAGTGGAGCTGGGCAATCCTCCCATTTTGGCACTAATCCTTATGCGGCGTAAAGGATGCACCGTTTCGCGATTAAGGTACCAGTAGCACCAATGTGGTGCTTTGAAGAGTCTAGTTGTAGTTTCCATTTAACCCACTAAAAGTTATTCACTTTTAGCCGGGGATCTTGGGGCAGCCCAGCTGCATCGTGGAATCGAAGCAACTTGGACCGGCAGGCCAGCCTTCGGAGGTCTTCGTCGTGCTGCAGTGCGCGGCGCAGCGCTTCGGAGCGGAGCTGGTGTCCGCGGCTGCGGCGGGGGACGCGGCGATGGTGCAGCGCGTGCTGGCGCAGTACCAGGATCCCAACTGCAGGAGGGGTGGTGAGTGGGGGGTGGGAGGGGTGGGAGAGGTAGGGTGAGTGGGGTGGGGGTTGGGGTGGGTAGGGTGGGGCTGGCAATGGGAACCTAGCATTTCAAGAAAGAATCTTGCTTGATTGGCGGTAGTGGGAACTTGCACTTGACCAAGCTGCAGAAAGTTGGTTGATTTGTAGTTCATAGGTCGCAGTTAGTAGAACGGAGCCATGATTCCAAATGTATGGTTGATTTGGATTGGGGATTGTCCCGTTTGCACCTTGCACTCGGATTCCCTTGAAGTTTCGCCAATTGTCCAGCAACAGAGGCGACGCCAAACAAAGGCCGAAGCATCTTTTTGCCCCAGGATCAACAACCCCCTGGTTGATCAATAGAAGGGAGCTCCCATCTAGGAGGGATTCCTTCTTCTTTAGCGCTATTTGCCCCAGAGCAACCGCCTTGGGTGATTAAACCATTTAACGTGAGTCTGCAAGTTGAACATGGGGTTTCTATTCTAACCATGGTTTTAACCTACTTAGCAAAGTTTCAACCATCGTTCTTTCCCACATTTAGCCCTGGCTTTTTGGTGGCCTTCTGGAAAGATTCGGATTGAATGACTGGAGTTTGGCCCTCTGGTGGTTACCATGGTTACCTACCTAGATCCCCAGTTGCCTTCATTTTCCAGCTACTTTGACCAAATTATGGGCTACTAGTGGGTAACGTGGCTGGAAAAATGTGGCTTGGGGTTCCAGGTACCAGGTCCAGGTTGGACCATCGCAGGTGCGCGGTTCAGTTCCGCTCGAGGAGCCGCGGGCTTGCGCCGCTGCACCTCGCTGCGGAGAACGGCCACGCGCCCTGCCTGCGGCTGCTGCTGGCCGCGGCCGCGGATCTGCACGCAGCTGACGACGCCGGGGAGACGGCCCTGCACAGCGCGGCGTGGCGGGGGCAGAAGGACGGGACGTGGGAGCGGCGGAGTCTCAGACCTTTGATTTCGAAACATGAACAAGTTGGTATCAAAGACGTTTAGCACGGCCGGAAGGAATGTCCTTGCGGAAGTCCGGTTTATCCATTTGTCTGGACTTTTCGGGGAATTGTTCTTAACGTAATATAGACCCTTGGAACTTTTGGTTTCCCATGGGCTGCTTGTCATGGATCCTCGATTTGTCTCCCAAGATTGGCTTTGACTTCAAAGGACAAGCTCCCAAATCAGAAAATCTATGGGCAAAGCCAGCCGTAGCCACATGGTTCCCGAGCCACAAAAACTAGACATTGACACCCAAGCCCTTTGGTGCTACTGCTATGGTTCCGTTTCATTGCCTGACATGGTGGCATCTACCTTTTCAAACTCTTGATTTTAGAAGGGGAACTCTGAGAATGCCATGGGATGATGATCCTCCCCGGAGCCGGGTTTGTTCTGTCTTCAAAGAGCCTGGATCTGAAGGTCACGACGTCCGGAAAGCTGTTCCTTCCAAACATCTAAAATGCCACCATGCAAAAGAAACTGGCCCCCACCGGGGTCCAGCGTTCCCTACAATTCCGCTTTAATCGTCACCCCTACAAAAGGCGACTCACTTAATAGTGTCTCAAAAGGTGAGGTTTGAAACCACCCACAAGGGACATATAAAGACCCTGTCGTCCCCCTGTCTAATTCTCTAGTCTCCATTTGTGCAACTGGCAACATACAGTACACAATTGGTGTCTACTCATGTCCCACACAAGTGAGGGGGGGGGGGGCGGCCCCAACTTTCTCACTGGGTCATATCGCCACAGAATTGGCAGGAGGCAGCAGAATGTCTGCTGCAGGCGGCCTTTCGCGGTTGGACGTCAGGTCTTCCATCAGGCTATGGCCTGATAGAAAAATGTATGGCCTGCGGGTTTCCTGAAACCTCGTTTGAGGTGAAAGGACCATGCCTTCATTTGGTGCCTTTGGTTTCGCTTCAAAGGGCTCTTTTAGGCTCGGAAATCACGCAAGCCGGCCTCGTGGAATTCAGAGATGTGTTTTTGTCTTTTTTGTTTCGAAAGGGACCCTCTGTTTATGGAGACGTCTTCTGTTGTTTTCCTTATGACTCCCTCCAAGCCTGTTTCCAGCTGATGGGCTTCCTGGAAGGCTGGAGCTGAGGCGGCGCGGGTGAATGAGAACCAGGAGAGGTCATGCTCCGGATGGTCGGGTTGGGCTCGGGTTGGGTTTGGTTGGGCTAAGTTCATAGTAAGTAGGTAATAAACATAGTCATGAGTGGGACAGCAGGGGTTTTTATAATAGACCTACTAAGCAGATTGAGCCACATTGGACAGATTTGCCAGGGCAAGCTTTTGTCTGGCACAGGGAGGGCCCATCAAGCATCTATGAATTGGGCAACGCTGAAAGGGTGATATGACAAATGGGTTCTAGGATGCTAGACGCACATGTCTTTCCTCTGTTGAACCCAGCCACTTTGCTGTTTGAGAGTCCTACACATATTGATTTTGCATTGCTTCACATGTATTTGAGCTGGCAACATCTTAGCTGGTTTTGGAAGCTGGAACCTCAAACTGGGTATGATGGGTTTGTGGATACTGTACTGTAGCATTCATCAAGACACACACACACACACAGACACACAGACACACAGACACACAGACACACAGACACACAGACACACAGACACACAGACACACAGACACACAGACACACAGACACACAGACACACAGACACACAGACACACAGACACACAGACACACAGACACACAGACACACAGACACACAGACACACAGACACACAGACACACAGACACACAGACACACAGACACACAGACACACAGACACACAGACACACAGACACACAGACACACAGACACACAGACACACAGACACACAGACACACAGACACACAGACACACAGACACACAGACACACAGACACAGACACACAGACACACAGACACACAGACACACACACACACACAGACACACACAGACACGCAGACACAGACAGACACGCAGACACGCAGACACAGACACGCAGACACGCAGACACGCAGACACAGACACAGACAGACACACAGACACACAGACACACAGACACACAGACACACAGACACACAGACACACAGACACACAGACACACAGACACACAGACACACAGACACACAGACACACAGACACAGACACACAGACACACAGACACACAGACACACAGACACACAGACACACAGACACACAGACACACAGACACACAGACACACAGACACACAGACACACACACACACACACTTAAACTCCAGATGGAGGGTGCTAATCTTTCGAGTACATCTGATGAGTCTCGAGTACAATTGATGAGTCTCGACTGGGTTCTGCTCGCGATGCACTCGGCTTCCCTCTAGCAGCGAACACGTTACCCGAAAGAACAAGAAGCACAAACAGCGCCGCAACCAAGGGGGCCAAAAGGACTTTCAGAATCACTGAAGCAGGTACAAGATGCTGCGTCCAGCATCTCCTCCACCCGATTTCCGTAGCTTCGTTGGCACGGCTTGGAAATCAGGCGCCGTGCCCCTGCGCTGAAATGTGGTGGCAGGGTATTCTGCCACTCCGCACACACACGCCCCTCAAAGAGGGGCGAGTACCACTTTTTCGGGGGGAGAAAAAACACGCGCCCCAAAACCGGGCGAAGACCCCAACAGAAAACAAACGGAGCAAGGGAGCCCAAAAGAAACAGAAAGGCCCCAGGTTGGGTCACCGCGGGCAAAACCCCAAACAAGAAACAAGAACAACGGGGAAGCCAGGTTTCGGGTCTCCGAGGGCAACAACCCCAAACAGCGCAAAAACGACCTAGACCTTGTAGACGAAAGGGGCCGCGAAGGCAAAGAGGCAGAAGAGGAACAGGCCATCCCTAACCGGGCGAACAGGAAGTACAAGAGATAGCCCAGAGAGGGAAAGAAAAAGAAAGAAAGGAAAGGGACGAAAGAGAGAAAGAAAGAGAGAGAGAGAGAGAGACAGAAAGAGAGAGAGAGAGAGAGAGAGACAAAAGCGTATTTAGGGCGTCGCAACCGCCCGGGGGGAAAAAGAAAGGAGCAGGGTGCGTATTTAGGGCGCCGCATCCCGCCCGGGAAGAAGGAACAAGAAGCAGAAGGCAAGGAGACAAAAAGGAGAAAAGAAGGAAGAAGGAAGAAGGAAGAGGAAGAGGGAAGTAGTAGTATGCGTTTTTAGGGCGACGCATCCCGCCCAGACAGGAACAGAGGATGAAGACCAAGGCTCGCGGAGGAAGACGTCAAGCCAAACTACGTGAGGAAGAAGAGGAGTAGGAACAGGAAGACAGACACGAAGACGAAGACGAGGAAAAAGGTGAACAACGCGAGGACAACCAGGCCATCCCTAAGCGGGCGAACAGAAAGGGGACGAACGCGCGGGTCACGAAAGGCAGCAAAAAGAGAACGGGAGGAAGGAGAAGCCATCCCTAGGCGGGCGAAGAACCAGAAGACGGGCACGCGGAAGAAGAAGGCGAGAAGAAAGAACGTAGGGTGAGACGTAGCTATGATCTGACGGCTGTCTTCCTTTTAGTGAAACCTCGTTCCTGATTAAATCTGAAATTCCGCTGTTCTATGATAAGCACGTTGAGGTCAAATTTTCCGACAAAGCCGGCCCGGGGTCACACAATGGGTACACCCGAGGATTCCCCATGAATGGGGTGTACACACTTAAACTCCAGATGGAGGGCGCTAATCTTTCGAGTGCAACTGATGAGTCTCGAGTACAACTGATGAGTCTCGACTGGGTTCTGCTCGCGATGCACTCGGCTTCCCTCTAGCAGCGAACACGTTACCCGAAAGAACAAGAAGCACAAACAGCGCCGCAACCAAGGGGCCAAAAGGACTTTCAGAATCACTGAAGCAGGTACAAGATGCTGCGTCCAGCATCTCCTCCACCCGATTTCCGTAGCTTCGTTGGCACGGCTTGGAAATCAGGCGCCGTGCCCCCTGCGCTGAAATGTGGTGGCAGGGTATTCTGCCACTCCGCACACACACACACACTCGTTGCCGAAGGATCTCTGAGTGGCTGCAGGTGAGTCGAAGTCGTTTTTCTTTTGGTTCTCCAAATCGGTGGTTTCGCTTCGCCTTTCTAACAAGGTTCTCCAGAAACCGACAGCCACCCAAAACCGATACCCCGACACCCGTCAGCAACCCCACAGGACACCGCGCTACACCTCGCCGCCTGGAGCCCTCGACTGTTATGGCTACCGCTTGTTCAGTCACCTTTCACATTTGGCGGGTTCCCAAAGGTACATTTGCAATTTGGGAAGAGGGCAATTTATGCCCGAAGGATGTCTGTTTGGTTGTGGGAAACCACAGGGAAAGAAGGTTTGTTCCGTCTGTTTGCCCTGGCTTAGGTTGGTGCTTGGATGTGTTGGTGTTTGGATGTGTCGGCTTCGGTTTTCTTGCCTTCGTAAGAATCACCTCCTTATGAGCAGATCTTTGTGCGGAATTCTTGGTCGCTTGATTCGGTGATTCCGACACCTACCGATAAGGAGCTAGGCTTTGGACTGATTCGGCCTTGGACCGAGGCTTGCTCGACCCAAACGGCGCTCCTTGAAGATGCCGGGGATTCTTCACGGCTGAAGGAGCCAAAACAAACTCTTGCGGCCTTCTCCCATTCCCCAAACTCAAACTTGACCAGATTGACCCCCGGACAGGGTTTTTCGATGGGTTTGCTTGCTTTGCACCTTGAACCATTCGGCTCTTTGGCCCAGGAACGGGCACCTTGCAGTGGCGCAGCTTTTGCTGCAGCATGACGCCCCCATCAACGCGGGCAACGAGGCGATTCGAGTCGAGCCGGGGGGTTGAACCAGAAGTGTCGCCTGGTTGGTGAAAAGAATCGGGGACGTGGTGGGTTGAACATAGATGAATTGATTTCACAGGTTACAAACGGGTTGGATTCTTGTATTTTTGTCAGAATGGTGGGTTTGTCTCCAAATATGGAAACCTCGATTTGGGAGGGGGGGGCGGGTTTGTGTTCTTCAGCCTTGAGAGCCAATAGGATCATGGGCCACTGAGTGCGACCTATCCCATCCATTTTGGGGGTTCCCCTGTTAGGAGACTCTGGTAAGGCATCAGGGTCACCCAACTTGCAGGGCGCTCCCTTTAGCAAAAAGGTCCTGATCTAACAACTTCCGTAGCCTGACTCCGGACAGAGGACATTTCGCAGCCGGGAGGTTTTGACCGCGCGTTTCAGCACCCGTCGTGATTGACAAGCAGCCTTTGGAATGGCGTTCAGTGATTCTTACTCGCGTTTGCCTTACTGCCTGGAGTCCCTTGGCAACTCATCTTTCGAAGCGACCTTCTGTGAGCTTCAATGGTGGAGGGATAACACTTTATAACGTACAATCGTTTGATTGACGGAGGGAAATGTCCATTTGAGGGGGAATCCTTCACTTTTGGGGACACCTCCTAGTAATCATGATCCACGAGGTTGATTTTGACATGAGCAGTGCGGAAAAAGTGACTTGGGTTTTCACTCGGACGACTCCATGCCAGTTGATACATGGTGGGCGCCGGTTCTGCAAGTTGGGACGCGCCCCTGGGAAAGTCACGAGGTCGTCCGTGTTACAGACTACTTTGTTGTAGGAAGGCGTGGCCTACGTAATTACAAGTTGTATTGCAAGTGTAAGCTTCTTTTTGGAGGCATACCAAACTTTTTCCACATCAAGTATGAAAGGACGAGCCAGGTAGGTCACGGACAGGTGCTAAGTTTAAAGAGAGCAACACACTTCGCGAGTCAAGCATGCAAGGAAGCCAACCCAACAGACAAAGCACGTCAGAAACAGGCCAAGAAGCGTCCCAACATCGGAACCAATCCATCTGTGGGATAGTATCCCAATTCACTGAGCAACTTTTTGCCTACCAGCTACATATAGCAAGATACTGCGACATGGGTGATGCAGTTGTTCTATGTTCGAAGGTTCACTGAATGTGGACCGCATCAAAGAACGTATATATTTGGTTAGGGGGGCAAAAGCCGGGGCAGATAGAGGTACGTGACAACAGTCCTTGAACGTGGCCTAGCTGCCTATTTCTTTCCAGGGATTCTTCTTTTCCAGAGAAGCACCAAACACGCAGCCAAAACAGCTATTTGCGATTAATAATGACCTTTGAGGTTTTGTTGGTTGACCATGGGTTCCACACGAACAAATCTGTTTAGTTCCGATCATTTGGTGGCATCCACCCCTAGACTTGCTTTTGAAGTGGAGGAAGTTTGCAACTTTTTTTGAAGGGAAAAGGACGCCAACCCCTTTTTCGGGGCCCAAGATCCACCCAATATCTAGATCCACCCAATATCTACCCAAGATCCACCCCAGACCTCCCAGGATCTCTGAAAAAAGGCTGGGGACACCCCGCTGCACCTGGCGGCGCAGAGTGGGCACCAAGCCTTGGTGCGGCTGCTGCTGCTGCGTGGAGCGGACTTGCACGCGGAGCTCACCAGCGGCCGCTCGGAGCTCGTTTCGTGTCGAAGTCGCCATCTCAAGACAAACTAGGTCTTTCGGCTAGGTGCCCTTTCTCACCCCTTGTTTGGTTGGGAGGGTTCCCCTACTAAAATAGCCTACAGAAAGAAGGGTACCCTGATTCGAACCTCTCTGCTGGAGCACCTAGCAAACATAGAACCTGCGCATCGCGTACTTTTGTACTGAAAAGTTGAGTTTTCCGCCTTGGAGATGCGAGCACTGCGCCTACCGCTTTTGTGCCCGCCCCGTCGATTTTTTGCACATCGACCATGCTAATGTCTGCAGAGGGTCGTGCGGGAACCGCAAAAGGTTGCAAAACACCTGGGTTTTGGCACATCGACCATGCCGAATGTGGACAAGTTGCACAATGCGTGTTTTTTCACATCGACCAGGCCGACGTGTTGAACAGGTGCAAAAAGTTCGAAAGTTGCACATCGACCACGCCGATCCCTGCAGAGGGTTGCCATTTCGCACAACATACTATCTCTTCGGCATATATTCTCCATGATTCTCTGCTTACTTTGCCATGTGTCGCTCTGTGCGCTGTTGTTCTTTGCAAGAAGCAGAAAAGTCGCTTTGTGGCAGCATGCAGTTCACGTTTGGGCAGGTCTGAGTCTGGCCCAATGCCACCAGGGCTTTCGACCAGGTGCCATGACACTCCCGACATTAAATGGGTCGAGGGAACCCAACTGAAGTGGACAAAGAGGCACCTTGGCACTGAATGAGAAGCGGGCTCCAGAGCAAAATGTCCTTTGGGCCAGGTGAGTACCCAGCTTCATGCGGGTTGTAGTCAGGGCTATACAGCTTCATAACCATGTTGGGGTTCCAAACAAGTCAGTTGGTTTTGGGATATGGGACCCTGCGGTCCAAAGAGCTTATGCAAAAACGATACTTGCAGGAAGTTAACCCAGCCAGTGTCCTTGTGGTGCTTGGCGCTGGCAGAGTTTGCAATTTGAGCCCTTGAGCATTGAAAAACATAAAGCGGCGGCCCTTTTGATGCAGGACTCTACGACGAAGTCGCCTTTATTAGCCTGTCAAAAGGCAAATTTTGTTGTGTTAGCTTTAGCCTTGTCCACAGGCCCGCACAATTGGACCTCGCTTCACCATGCCTTTCCTTGGGGGCTTCGGCATATCAGCGTGGCATCTTTTGGAACAAGTAGACCCTAGCTTGCCGGAAAACGAAGGAGGTTGGTTCAAAAGTGGCTACGTGTCTCAAAAAAGGCCAAGCGCCCCCAAAGTTTGCGTTTCCCCGCTAGAAACTCCTTTCGGCCGAACTCGCCTTAGGTGAGACACCTTTGCACTTGGCCGCTTGGCGCGGACAGGCAAGGGCATGGCATGAGAGAAGTTGATGCTTGGAACCAAAACAACAGTCAGCTCACGTTGCCACACTTATCTTCCCGTTGAACTCCTGTTAAGCTTGCTTTTAAGGTTTCCCAATTTGCGCGTTCCGGTCTAAGTCTGGCCCAATATGGGAAGTGAGGGACGCTCGACCATTTGAGCCCAAAAAGGTGACCGAGCCTCAGAAAGACACGCCGACAGGAAGCCAATCATCCGGCGGGGGCGGCTGCCGCCCATCAGTTTGAAATTCAACCGCACGAGAACAGTGTGTTGAAGGAAGCCAAACGGAAATCAATGAGAAAACCGTCCAACAAGCACGTCAGGGGCATCAATAGGCAATGTGGGAACCAGAGGACCATTCAAAAATCCAGCAGGTTCCAGCCTTAGAGCATTTGAACATGTTGGGGTAATAGCTACTAAGACAACGCCAATCATTATTGGAGGTCCAAATCCTATTCTAGGAAGCGCTCATGTTCGCAAGCAAGTGAGATTCCCTTCCCGCTGGCCATGGCCATTACTGAAGGCACCCAAATCGCAAATGGGTGTGTCCACAAATGGACGGGGCGGAGGGCCACGGAAAGGATGGTTCCCCTCGGATTGACCCCTCCTGACGTGGAGCCCACGAGTGTCCTGTTTGGAGGAAACTGGTCTTCCGAGTGCGCTGGAGGTTCCAAGTTGGATCGAATCGATCGATTTTTCCCACGCACCCGGTGGATTCACGTTGGATTCCATTGGGATCCCGTTGGGATCTCCCCGGTTTCGGGAGGCCGCCGTGGCGAGCGCGCTGCTGGAGGCCAAGGCGGCTCTGGAGGCGCGGAGTTCCTCCGGGGACTCCGCGCTGATCTTGGGCGCCTGGGGCGGGCACCGCGACCTCTGCGGCCTCCTGCTGCGCCGCAACGCGGAGGCCGAGAATCCGAGAACCCGAGAACCCGAGCGCGGAAGCCGAAGCCGGCGGAAACGGGGGAGCGACGGGTTCTTCCTGTACGGGTCCAAGCAAGACGTGTGTCTTCAGACATGTTGCGCCTTTGGTAAAACGTGTTTTTGCTTTTGTGGGAGGTCGTTCCACGTCGTTTGTGTTTTTTGTGGTTGCTGCTGTCGTGTTAAGGTGAGGGAAGATCCGGAGGCGAAGCTCCAACCATTGCGGACCCAGGGATGCTTTTCATAGGGTCAACCACGGTTGGTTTCAGGTTGCCACTTTCTGGGGATTCCCGTTTTTGAGGCAGAGACCGGGGCCTGGTTCAGCCATGGTCAATGGCATTTGTTGAAAACGTGGTTTTAGATTTTCTTGTGACTGGCCCACTGCTGATATGGCAAAGTCGCTTTTTAGCTGTGGCTCAAATAAATGTACAAAATAAATTCTTGTCAAATGGAACCAACGACTAAAACCGCGTAACCCTAAATGAACTTTCATGAGACTTGGTTGTTTCAACCAAGGGTTGCTCCATCCTTTGTTTTGAAGAGGGCCGGCCAACTGTGACTCCATGTTGTGTTACGAGGGCGGAGGGTTCCCGCAAATGTCCGCTCCTTTTTTGCTTTCAATCGGTAGGCACACCCGTTCAACACTGCACACACGCCAGACACCTGGTAAGCACACCTGCTCACGTGCGCCCGTGCAGCACTGCACACACGGCATCCACATCGTAAGCACATCCGTTCAACTGAGCCCGCCCAGCACTGCACACACGCCAGCCACATGGTTGGCACGCACAATCACGCGCACCCGTTCAGCACTGCACACACGCAAGCCACATGGTAAGCGCACCCGTTCAACTGAGCCCGCTCAGCACTTCGCACACACACACACACACACGCACACCGGCCACATGGTAGGCACACTCGCTCATGCGCACCCGCTCAGCGCTGCGCACACGTTTGTCAGATGGTAAGCACACCGGTTCAACTGAGCCCGCTCGGCACTACACACACGCCTGTGAGTTGGCAGGTGTCCATTGGTTTCTTATCTTGCTCTTGCGCGGGGGCGCATCAGCGTGGGCTGGAGTTTCGGGTTTTCCCGCCACTCGGTTTTTGAGCATGAGCATGTAAAAGACTCTGGAGTTTCAACAAACAAGTCTTGGAGTCATGTAGGGACTATATGATACTGGCAATGGTTGTTGGCTCGTGCTGCTGAAAGTGCTGCGTGCCATCAAGTCATGTGGGGCTTCTGTCGAAAAGAACCCTGAAAACAGCGGGGCCGCTAACAGGGGCGTGACCTTGTTTTTGGGGTCTGCGTTTTGGGCATCCTCTCTCCCCCAAAATTTTAGGAAACCGACATTTGGAACACCACCCTTTTTTGATGCCCCATTTTGGGGTATGCTTTTTTTGGGAAGACAACCCTTTTTTGACACCCTGTTTTTGAGGTATGCCTTTTCGGCGTCCTATCTCCCCGAATTTTGGAAAATCCCTGTTCGAAAGACAACCCTTTTTTGTTTGGAAGACAACCCTCTTTTGCCACGTTATTTTTGGGGTGTGCTTTTTGGGCGCCCTCTCACTTCTCTCCCCGCATTGCGGGAAAAGAGCGTTTGGAGCACCACCCAGTTTTGATACGTGTATTTTTGTGTGTTTTTTTGGGAGGTATGCATGTTGGACATCCCCTCTCTTCCCCCGAAAGGACAAGATCTGAACCCAATCAAGTGTCAGAGAGCCTAGGTCCGACCCCAGACTTGGTTCAGCAGGGAATCCGGCCTTGATTTCAGCGAGGAAAAGGCTGAACCCAAAACAGCTTCAGCAAAAGGGGCGGGATTGAAAAAAGGGGGGCCCGCCCTGGGAGGAACCCACAGGTTTTGCCGAGAAACAAGCCCAAACAAGTTTCGGCAAGACACCCAGCCTTGACCCCAAACAAGTTTCGGCGAAGAACCCGCCCAGCATTGACCCCCAAACAAGTTTCGGCGAGTGATCCAGCATTCACCCCAAACAAGTTTCGGCGAGGGATCCGGCGTTGACCCCCAAAACAAGTTTCGGCGAGGACCCCAGCGTTGACCCCCAAAAAGTTGCGGCGAGTGACCCGGCATTTACCCCAAACAAGTTTCGGCGAGGAATCCAGCGTTGACCCCAAACAAGTTTCGGCGAGGAATCCAGCGTTGAAATCAAACATGGTTCGGCGAACATCCCGGCAGTGACCCCCAAACAAGTTGCGGCGAGTGACCCGGCATTCACCCCAAACAAGTTTCGGCGAGGGGTCCGGCGTTGACCCCCAAACAAGTTTCGGCGAGGAACCCAGCGTTGACCCTCAAAGAAGTTTCGGCGAGCTCCTCAGCGAGTAGCTCTCCCAAATGTTGTTGGTCCAAGATTGGTCCAGAGATTGGATTTCTCACCGAAAGTTGGGGGGCTGCACCGCCAGAGTTTCGGTGAGCTCCTCACAGAGTACCTCTCCCAACCCCCCCCCCCCAACTCCCCAAATTTCTAGAGAAACCAATTCCCTCTATGCCCGAATCAACTTGGGGGTAGATCTGGGTAGGGTTTCGGTGAGCTCCTCAGCGAGTAGCTCTCCCAAACTTGGGTTAGCAAGGAGGGTCAGTTTCGGAGAGGAATCAGCGTTCCACCATCCCAATCCAAGCCTCCCGGAAGCGGCAAACAGCCATAGCCCCGCAAGAAGCTGGACATCTTAATCTTGGACCAACAACATTTGGGAGAGCTACTCGCTGAGGAGCTCGCCGAAACTTGTTTGGGGGTCAACGCTGGATTCCTCGCCGAAACTTGTTTGGGGGTCAACGCCGGATCCCTCGCCGAAACTTGTTTGGGGGTCAACGCCGGGTCACTCGCTGCAACTTCTTTGGGGGTCAACGCTGGCTTCCTCGCCGAATCTTGTTTGGGGGTCAACGCCGGATCCCTCGGCGAAACTTGTTTGGGGTGAATGCTGGATCACTCGCCGAAACTCGTTTGGGGGTCAATGCTGGGCGGGTTCTTCGCCGAAACTTGTTTGGGGGCAACGCTGGGTTCCTCGCCGAAACTTGTTTGGGGTCAACGCTGGGTTCCTCTCCAAAACTTGTTGGAGGGTCAACGCTGGGTTCCTCGCCGAAACTTGTTTGGGGGTCAACGCTGGGTTTTTTGCCGAAGCTTGTTTGGGGTCAACCCTGGGTTCCTTGCCGAAAATTGTTTGGGGTCAATGCTGGATTCCTTGCCGAAACTTGTTTGGGGTCAACGCTGGATTTCTTGCCGAAACTTGTTTGGGGTCAGCTCTGGGTTCTCTCCGAAACTTGTTTGGTGTCAACGCTGGGTTCCTCTCCGAAACTTGTTTGGGGTCAAGGCTGGGTGTCTTGCCGAAACTTGTTTGGGCTTGTTTCTCAGCAAAACCTGTGGGTTCCTCCCGGGGCGGGCCCCCCTTTTTCAATCCCGCCCCTCTTGCTGAAGCTGTTTTGGTTTCAGGCTTTTCCTCGCTGAAATTGTTTGTGTCAGAGGGGAACCAAGTCTGGGGTCGGACCTAGGCTGGCAAACACTTGATTTGGTTTAGATCTTGTCCTTTCGGGGGAAGAGAGGGGATGTCTAACATGCATACCCCCCCCGCCAAAAAAACACACAAACAAGAAAACATATCAAAACGGGGTGGTGCTCCAAATGCTCTTTTCCCGCAATGGCGGGGAGAGAAGTGAGAGGGCGCCCAAAAAAGCACACCCCAAAAACCAAACATTTATTTCCCAAAATTCGGGGGAGATAGGACGCCCAAAAAGCATACCTCAAAAACAGGGTGTGGAAAAAGGGTGGTGTTCCAAATGCCGATTTCCCAAAATTTTGGGGAAGAGAGGATGCCCAAGAAGCATACCCCAAAAACAAGGTCATGCCCCCGTTAGCGGCCTCCCTGTTGTCAGGCTTTTTTCGACAGAAGCCCCACATGACTTGATGGCAGGCGCAGCACTTTCATCAGCATGAGCCAACAACCATAGCCAGTGTCGTGAGGTTGTTGCAGACTCCAAGACTTGTTTGCTAAAGCTCCAATGTCTTTTTAGTGCTGCTCATGCTCAAAAACCGAGCGGCGAGAAACACAAAACTCCAGCCAGCGCTAATACGCCGCTGCGCAAGAGGAAGATGAAAAATCAATGGACACCTGCCAACTCGCAAGCGTGTGTGCAGTGCCGAGCGGGCTCAGTTGAACCGGTGTGCTTACCATGTGGCTGGCGGCTGGCGTGTGTGTTTGTGTGTGCAGTGTTGAGCGGGTGCATACCATGTGGCTGGCGTGTGTGCAGTGCTGAGCGGGTGCATGTGAGCGGGTGTGCTCACCATGTGGCTGGCGTGTGTGCAGTTGAAGGGGTGTGCAAAACCATGTGGCCAACCGTTTGAAAGCAAAAAAGGAATGGACATTTCCGGGACCCCTCCACCCTCGCAACACAACATGGAGTCAGAATTGGCCGGCCCTTTTCAAAACAAAGGACGGAGCAACCCTTGGTTGAAACAACCAAGTCTCATGAAAGTTCATTCCTAGCTGTTTAATTTTGAGCCACACCCTTTAACCTCGGACGCATTTCACTGCCTTTAAATCGTGGGATTCACACATTCGCAAATTTGTGCATCGAAGCGGTTGGTGAAGAAAGGAGCCGCCTTAACTCTGCCGAGGATGCAGATGCTCGAGTGTTTCCACAAGCGCGAAATCGCATCATCCTTACGCAGGGTTGTCAATCACGTCTATAAGTTAAAGTGCCGCCCTAGTCACAATCGATACGTCGACACTTCATGGATAACCATCTCGAGCTTTCTAGAGGCAGTGTAAATACCAAGAACCGCTATAGAGACAATCACAATAATGCACATGCACATAATTTTGTCAATCATTTTCAGCCGCTTCTGGAACATCATGCAACAAAAGATGCAAGGAAGCACAATGATCCGGCCACAGTCGATATTTTTGCTGGACGCGGTATTTTCGAGGGAGACTCATGAAGGGACACCATGAAGGTACGCGGGGAAATGTGATGCTCAATGCGAAGACTCGTTCCAAAGTGGCATAGCACACTAGCGATGCATCCAAGTCTGTGTAAAGAATCGCGACGCCTTTTCGGGTTGTTGCGGAGTTCCATCGCAGATGGTCTTCGCTGACTTGGTTTTTGCTTATGGGGTCGATGTTCGGCACCCGATTGTGGATTGTGGTTTTTAGCTTGGTGCAAGCAAATATGGACGCCTTCTCGAGGAAACAAAGTGCATGAAGAGTCAGCGAATTAGATGCAGACAATGATATTCTGAAGAATCCGAGTCCATGTACTCAACGTACGATGCCTGTACAAATGGAGAATGGCCTCATGAACAAAGAGGTTATATAATATATATATATATAGGTACCCCGGGGCATGTGGATAAGTCCTTGGTTTGTTTGAGCGAGGCATTTTGCTTAAGTGTTCTTCAGGCGCAAGCCGCCAACCTGCGGGGGGACACCGCGCTGGTCTTGGCGCTCCGCAACAATGACCTGGGCACGGCTCAGTGCCTTCTGCGGTATCTTCCTCCGCCACTTCCCAAGGAAGGGCAATGCCACGGTTAAAAATTGCCCCTAAAGGGGCTATCAGGGAGCGTGCGTTTAGGACCTCTTGGGGATTTTGTTCCTACATAGCGCATGTGAAGGTTCCTTGCTTGGTTTTGTTGGGCCCCCTTGGCCACTTGAGTACGGTGTTTCTACTACCTGGCTTGGGGGTTGTAATGCATCGAACCCCTAGTGCAGGTTGCCTGTACCATCCTTTCGCATCTTCCATGCTGGGGGGGTGTTTGACAGACCTTATTCAGGGCGTGTCTTCTTGTTGATGGTTGGTTTTGGACGAAAGGTAAAAGAGAACCAGGTTCCCCGGGTCCGTGTGAATTGTTGCTATCCGCAGGAGGCTGTTCTAGAAGTCGTGGACCTCATCCAAGCGGCAGAGAGGAATCAGCTGGCGGCCGACCTCGCCGAGTCCCCGCTTCGCGCTTGAAATCGCAGTGAGCCAGCGCTGGCAGGACGTTTTCAGGGGCAGGGAGTGATAGAACGACATGAGTTTGTCTTGGCTTTCTGTTGGCTTCCCTTTAAGAGAAAAACCCGCATCGGGACCTTTCCCTTTTTGCGGGGTCAATCATTGCAGTGCCAATATGAATATCTTTCTCGTGAATGGTTTAATGTTATGCTGATCCTGGAATATGTTTGGTAGCTGAATACCATGCCCCACGCAGTCCAAATAAAGAGGGTCTCAGATTATTGTTCTGGCCCTCCTGGAATCGCCAGAGTCTGCAGGTTTTGTTTCGTCCCGTTGAATCCCGCCAAGCTTCAGCTTGCCTAGAACCTTGGCGGCCACAATATTTAACATGCTCAGCTTTTTGCGGCATCCAGTTTTGTGGCGCTGCACAATTCTCACCGAGTCATCCAGAGGGACACCAGCACGAATCAGGCACAAGTCCTGCAAGCTATCCACATCGAAGTTTTCGCGGCGAGTGGACACCTCGCCCGTGATTCGTGTTGCTGCCCCTAGCCATGAAGAATGCAGCTCTTGGAATGGCGCGCTTAGCGGCGCGCGCCCGAACTTGCACGAGGCAGTCGGTGCCGGCTTCAGAAAGAGCAGCGTCAACATGCTGCGAGGTAAGGGACGGGTGAGCAGCGCCTAAGACCCCTTATTGCCTATTTTAGAAGGTGTTTCTACTACTTGCTTTGAAGTTTATGGTAAGGGTTGCACGGGCCACGAACAACCAATGGCTTTGGGGTCCAAGAGTTTGGCACGAGACTCGGCTCAGTCGCAAGGTGACCTGCTCCTCCTTGGGCGCCGGGCATTCGCGCAGTATCCAGCGGGGAGCGCAGTATCGAGTTCTCAAACCTCCCAGACCCGCTGATCCCTGCTGGGTTCCCATGGCCATGGTGATCCTGTTAACAGACCATGGTGTTGGTGACCGTGGTTTTGGTTAACAGACCCGGAGGGTTCATCCCAGACCTCGTGAATCCACTGGAGGCCTGGGGGCCGCTCCCTCGGTTTCAACATGTTTTTGATGTTGCGTCAACGGGCTCAAAGCATTTCAAGACCGTTGCCGCTTCGTATCGCAAGAACATGTGTGTGTTAGTCCATGGTTTTTGCGGCTAGGCCGCGGCATGAATACGACTTGAAGTGGATCGATATTGCTTGATAAAAGCTGTCATTCGAAGCTCGGCAATCCCCCCCCCCGTTGACCCAATATGTTGTCCGGCAGTTTTGTAACTTTTGAAGGGGACACCATGACCTGCAAATGACACATTGTTGCAAAAGGATGGATCATTGTTGGTTCTTCTATGACAACTTGGCCACATGTGGCACTGTCAAAAGCAGTAGTCTATGAAAGTTTGGAGGACATTGGACTTACTATTTGTCTGACAAAAACCGCGAATAATTTCCAGTTATCCATCCAGTACGGATACCAAATATGTTGGCCGTGGTTGAATTATCAACGATTTGCTGTTTGTTTCTGATGTGGGCTGTAGATGACCCGAGATTGTAGGGGATAGAAGTTTGTTAGCCAAATGGCAACACGTTGGACCCCTCCTTCGGTTTCCAAGAGGAACCAAGTGGTTTTCCTTTTGGTCCAGCCTTGGTTCTACTTTTGCTTTGTTTTTACTCATTTGAAGCTTCTTTTACGATGTTTCTGTGAACCTCGTTTCCCAAGCATAGGTGTCGGTAGTTTGGCTAGAAAAAAACGATGGCACCAGTTTGGATTGGTGGTGTTCTTCCATCCAAGAGCCATCTATTAGCTACGTTCCCCAGGTATTTCTTCCCGCTTCAGTGTCGTTTTCCTTGCTTTGGGGCTTCAGGAAGATCAGCTTCAGCCCAGATGCCAAGCAGATCGTGTCAGTGGGCCCGGACCCCGATGGCTTCGTGGCTTCGCTCCTTTGGTGGGGGCTCAATCTGTAAGTTAAAGAGTCGCTTGGGCGTGTCCTGTCTTCAGGGTACCCTTTTTTGGGCGGTTTGAGACGAGAACCAAAAGGAAAGCCACAGTTTTGGGGGTCCCCTTAAAAAAGACACTCGCACTTGGTGTCTGTTTGGAGTGATAGCAAGTCGGCCTGCCAACAGTTTGTGCCATTATCGAATCCCTTTGGCCTTGATGCTGATCCTTCTCCTTCTGGTCGGAACAAAAAACATCGCTCGACACTGCCCAAAATGCGTTCGGAATATGAGGCCTGGACCATGCCATCATGGTGTGGAACTGCTACGCCTAGACGCCGAGCCGGCCTGGGCCACGGAAATGGCGCAACATTTGCACTGGACAACCACATTGGGTTGCAATGGGCTGCAATGGGAGAGATCAACTGCTTTTTGGCGATGAAACGTAAATCACAGGGAGTCTATGCGTTTTGAAGTACATCAAGGGCTGGGTGATTTGGAGTTTTTCTCTCGATTCGGAGCTTTTGAAACAAGCGATGGCCGAATTGTTTTTTTTGGGGAGCACTTTGAAGGGATATTCCATGAGCCATCCAATTCTATTGATGCCCTTAGGCTAGAAAGCCACCCGAGGATTCCCATGTTTTCTTCCTCGCAACAGCGAAGGGATCTCACAGGTTCGGTCAAAATGTCGGTAGTCTGTGTTTCACGTGGAAGGGAGTTGGGGGGACGCACCGTTCCTGCAACGTGGGGCGGGGACTCACGAGAATATCCCCTGTGGGCTGTGAGTGTGCCGTTTTGTGTGGGCTCCCCTTTTTTTGTGATGTTATGAAAACCAAAAATACATCTTGGGGGTCGCCCAAAACAGGACGAGCCACCCAAGTCCGAAAAAAACAGTCGAATAGCCACCTGGCACTAGAGCACTAGAGACCTCCGGGGGGGGGCTTCAGGGTTCCCATGCTGGTAAAGGCCACTTTGAGGTCTAGGGCGGTTGCGTAAAGGGAAAATAGGGAAATATAATATGTACCCTGGCCGGGATGCTTTCACATGGTTGAGGATTGCATGATTTCCTGATTCATGTTCGAGTTCGAATGTGGGACTTCTGGCGCAGGCACGTATTGCCTTTGAAGCCCAAGTTCCCTCGTCGCCCTGTTGGAGGTTCCCTAGGTGAAGCCAAGGTCCGCATTGCCGTATTGCACCTCCCTGTCAGTGTTTCACGGGTGTTGAGACGGCTTTGCACGTGGGCCGATCTTTTGATTTGGCAATCTTGGTCGATACTTGTATTTCTCACACATCTCGAATTTTGCCTTCCTACACATGCAAGCAGGTCCTCATGTTGAAACACTCCCAAATCCCAAAGTAAAAGCATGTTTCCTGAAACAATGTGGTACTAAGCAAAGCTAAATGAGAAAATGCAATAGATTCTTCCATTTGCTTAAGAATATGTGTTGCTTTCCCCTGTTGGTTTTGAAGGGAATCTATCACTACCGGACATATTTGTATTTTTCCCAAGGACTTCAGCAAATGGACGTATTTGACCTCCCCTGGCACACGTGTCTTGAGGTAGCGAGCGATGGCGCAAAGCCGCCAGTGGCGCCCGAGGGGCTCCAGTTGGTTTTGGGAATCGAGTCAAAGGGGCGAAATGACGGAGACTTCTTCTCATTGGCTTACTTTGGCTTTACAGTGTTGTTCACCTCCATTCTCTGGTTGTTTTGGCCCTTGTAGCATGAGTTTTATTGGTAAGGGTGCTCACTGGACCCATGGGGTTCCTCTTCAAGGCGCACGAAACTAACTGAAAGATCTGAGCAGATTGCATTTGCGACTGGCAGGAAGGTTCGTTTGGGTCTCTGATTGCAGGTTGGTGACGTCGCGAGTGGTGTGAATGGTAGACTCCTCACGTGCAGATGTTTGGCGCATGAGAAAGCCAGGGGGCGCCCATGTTGCATGCCGATCTCACCATGGGCGATCAGCAAGATGCTGGTGCCTCCCAAATGCAAGCTGAAGCAAAGGGCCGCTCGCTTGGAACTTGGGGCTTGCTTTTGATGAGATCATCGGTCAGCCAAGCTGGTTGGCACTCACAGCCCAACTCTGGGGGGAGTTCCCCAACCTTAACTCGGATTGGCAATGCTTTTGTCCACTCAAAAACGCCCCAGATCTACGACCTTTCAGGGTTAGCAGCTCACCCATTAAGGGCCGTTTTTGAACCGTAGAAGCTACCAAAGTCTTTGGCGCTGCGCTTCGCAGGTGCTGGCTGACAAGTCGAAATCCACGCAGGTTGTGCCACAGGAGAAGCGGACGGGCGTCTTTGGCGGATGAGTGAGTGTGTCGACTTAGAGCACCCGTCTGGCCGTGTGTTTTCATGGGAAACCAAAGGCGAATCAACCTTGAAAGGCCGGAAGTGGACGGGGGTCGGGCTTTCAACATCCTCTTGTCCACTTCCATATGTGGTTGTTGAGGGTACCGTTCTGGTTTTGGGGTGTTGGGGAAGCCAAAAGGGAACCCACGCCCCGAGAGGTGTTCCCGGTTGCAGACAAGCCCAGCCAGTTGCTGGCCAAAAATCACTGCTCAAATTTGAATTCCCAATTGCTAGTTTCCTGGTAGCTGTGTTCGGCAACCACTGAGGCAATATCGAGACATGCTCAGATGTGTACATTCCTTTTTTGGGTAACTCGACTATTTGGTCATTCTTTGGTCTTGCTAGAGGCAGCAAGTCAGGTGAATCTTGCAGCTTTGGCCAGGTTTGTCTCTAGTCAACAAGGTCGTGTTGTGCGTTGATGCCCGTACGCTTGATATCGAACTTCGGCAGGTTCGGCAGGTTCGGCAAGGGTGAAGCAATGAGCAAGCGGCCCTACTTTGGAAACACAGCTGCTCAGAATGTGGACCCTTTCGGTTGACGCCCCGTTTTTGGAACCTGTGTGTGCTTGGTTGTTGCGGGATTTGCCCTGAATGGTAGGGTCCACGGCTCCATTTAAGAGGACTTGGAGAGGTTTGGCACGGTCGATTCCTTGAATGTTGCCAGTAGCGCTGGATCTCTCGGCTCAGGAGTCGGAGACGGCACGGGGCCAAGAAAGACCCTGTGCCGAATTCTTCGTGTGCCTATATGGCCTGACAAGTTTCGATGAATTCACGAGCTTCCATGTGCTTCAGGCAATGTTTGTTTTTCCCTTTATATGTTTGACGGAAGTTGTCCT